TTGAAAAACAAGCCTAAAAGTGAAATTTCTCTAAGTTACTTTCCCTTCTTGTAATGAATTTGATCATAACTCCAAATCTATGCATTTTATTATCATTTACCACTTTTGGACTTTTGTAGGACTTGTCAAGAGCTTTCCAACGAGCTTTGAACCAACTCAATTGGATGTGTGGTTAAGGAGTTATGGTCTTGCCCCTTTCAAAACCCTAATTCCCGACTTTTGCGATTACTCCTCAACCCTTGATCCAATGGTCATGAAATTTTATAGGTAGATGAAATATGTCATTAGGAACATTTTTTATACACATCTTGAGGTCAAATTCCTTATGAGTGAAGAGTTGACTTTTCGGTCAACCGAACGATCGATCGGTGACTACCGAGTCAACTGCTGATGCTCTGGACCTTTTGAGGCTTTGAAACTTCTTTAATGGACTTTACCAAGCCATATGAACCTTATGGACCATGATCCCACCATTGTAACACCTTTTAGATCAAAAGTCAAACCACAGTTGATTTTTCCTACTCGAAAACCCTAATCGGGTATCCTGAACTTCACTGTTCTTAATTCCTGGGTGACAACCTAAAATTGGATTCATGCTTGATCCAATGGAATATTTTTGATGATGTGGAGACCCAATTCAAGGAGAACCAATCCAAAATCTTGACTGATTAACCCTCGAAACCTCGATTTCGGTGTATCTTAACAAAGACAAACTTGAAATGGGTTAAGGTTAGATAATCAAATGAGTATGATCCTAAAATGATGATGAAGATCTAAGGGGTCAAAATTTGGGGTATGACACATAATTCTCACCTTTAAAAATTGGTGCTCTATTATACATTCCCTTTGGATCGTCATCACTAGCCATATTCTCGAACTTTTAAGTCGCTTAGACCTGATCAAAAGACCATCTCTAAGGCCAATTGTTTGGTGAGAATATGGAGTAGAGAAACAATCTAGAGGAGGAGTCATAAACCCTTATTAAAAGTTGACCAATTTTCTAAAAATAGAATATCAGAGGTTATTCAAAAACACGCGTGAAGGCTTAAAGCAAAAGTAGAGATATTATGTTTGTATTGGACGTCAACCACGTTTACACATACACATTTCACAAATACCATAGATCATTCAGAGACAATACACAAAAATTGCACACAATGACTAATTGATTAATTGTAAATTACACGAGTTGTATCATGTATAATGATTCAATTTCTATCAAATTCTAAGACCACTAGTTTCCAGATTCCAATCAACACTAAAGCTCAATTAGGTACTCATTCTAACAAAACCAAAATTTACGTAATAAACCGCTATTGACAGAATTAAATGATAAATTACGCTAAGAAATGGTAACCTAAGCATGCAATATCCTATGAAAATTAAAATACAAGAGAGAGAGAGAGAGAGAGAGAGAGAGAGAGAGAGAGAGAGAGAGAGAGAGAGAGAGAGAGAGAGAGAGAGAGAGAGAGAGAGAGAGAGAGAGAGAGAGAGAGAGAGAGAGAGAGAGAGAGAGAGAGAGAGAGAGAGAGAGAGAGAGAGAGAGAGAGAGAGAGAGAGAGAGAGAGGGAGAGAGAGCACATTAGAATTTATAGTAGTTCAACTCTTTCGTCCTCGTGTGAGCTTACTCCATTCTCCAATAGTTTCCCATTGAAAGTTTTTCTTCTAATATGTTTTGACAAATACTCACGAGTTCATACAATCCCTAATCCACAAAAAATTTGAGAAAAATAAATCTCATATCTAGCTAGATATTGACTTGTATACAACCTTTATGCCAAACTCTCTGCAAAATTTTTACTCGATTCTCGCTTCTTGAATCTTCCAACTTTGCCAATATGCTCATAGTCTTCCTTTGTGGCAATCACCCTTTGATCCCACCGATTTATTGAGCGGTAAATTGTTTGAAGATTAAGAAGAACTCATATCCTACCTGTAGACTTCTACACACCAAGGTCAACTAGAGAGAAGAGCCTCTTCTTTTCACTAGAATTTATCACGACCAGTTACAACAACCACAATCTTGCAAGCTTCTTGAAAATATTAACGAACTCTTCAAGAACGGTTAGTTTCAAGACACATTTTCCTCAACAATTACAGATCTTCATAATCAAGATCTGAATCTAAATAATAGGTTGAATATGAAAGAAATTATGTTTGTAAGAGATTTTGAGTTTTTAAAAATGGAAGTTGTTGATTCTCACAAAATCTCTCTGAAAAATGTTATCAGTTATATGAGATGTATATGGAATGAGATGACAAATTTTTTTTATATGTACTTAAGATTAAGCATAAAAATGAATGGAAAAAGTTAGTTAGATTCAAGAACATTTCATGGTTTGAGTCAAATGAGAGTAAAACAATATCTCATAAAGAAAAACTACACATTTTCTTGTGACTCGAGTCACCTTATAAGCTTGATTCGAGTCATGAAGGATCATGATTCGATTCAAGTATAAAGCTTGGTTCGAGTCAAATTAGACAGAATCAAATAGGAAAATATGAAAAATTGTGTGATTCGAGACATGTAGAAAGTGTGATTCAAATTAAATTGGTCAGCGGATAACAGGAGGTGTTTGATTCGAATCAAGTGCAACTTGTGATTCGAGTCACAGTGTTTCTTGATTTGAATCGTGTAGAAACTGTGATTCGAGTCACAGACACCAAAAACTTTTTGCTCTCCTTTGTCTGATTTGATTCGAATCAGGGATTGTGAGTGACTCGAGTCACACACAATAAACCTCAAATTTTCAAGTTTTTTAAAATAGTTTGAGATTTCACTTTTCACATAACTTGAAGCAATGTCGCATATAGTTCTTGTTTCACTAACTCAATCAATTGACTTAAAACAATATGATCAAACTCAAATATAACCAATAGAATTATGCATGCTAAAAACGAATTGATTCAAATCTCAACTCAAAGATGTGCAATTGATGAGGAGACTAAATAAACAAAGATAAACAAAACAAAAATATAAAAGACAAGCAACAAAACCGTATTTGAGTTCTCCCCCTATATGTATTAGGGACATGCATATTTTACTCTTACATAGTTAAGTGTTCAAATAAGACACATGTGATCTTATGTAAATTGAAGGTAGAAAAAACACAAAAGAGATTTGAATTGTGAAAGATTTTCAAAAGCTTTTTGATAATACATTTATAGGTAGATAAAATGTTAAGTATAAAGAGAGAATGTAAGAGATTCATACATATCATTTATCATGGTTCACTTTGTGTTTAATGCAAATGATGCTGTTTGTATGACTACATATGATCATGTTTATTTTAGAGGTCTATCTTGTTGAATTTGACATACATGACCATTGATTTATCCGAGGATAGATAATCATTTCTCTATTTAGACGCAGATGAATATTTTTTTATTTGGGTATGAATGATCATTTCTTTTTTCTATAAATTATTATAAATTATTTTACAAATGAAAACAAACACGTTAAAATACTAATTATTCTCAATTTAATTATTATCATTAATATCGTACAGTTAAAAACTATTGTTCTTCAAATCATTTTTTATTCAACATTCTCAACCATCATCTTGAGATCATATATATATGACATCTAAATTACAAGATCCCTTGTCATTAATATGAATCGGAGGACTAAAACAAATTAAAAAAAAAAAACTTTGTGGGCAACATATTAGCAAAAATGACAACTTGCTATTACACATAGCACTGTTCTTCTATTTTGTGATTAGTTAGATTATGACATGTTTGGTTGGTTTAGTAAATTTTTTGTTTAAAAAAAAAAAGATAAAAATTGCTATGAAAGCGGGAATGAAATGGACATTACAAACTCTATGTCCTTCATATCACAGCAATGATAGTAAAAACTAAAGAATAGTTTGAGAGAATTCAAAATAATGTGAGAAACAGCTTTTACTTTTAAAAGTAAGCTGCTTTTGGCTAGTTTATTGGAGGATTTGTCTGTTGAATGTAAATCATTTGGAGACAAAATGAGTGATTGAGAATCAATAAAGCCAACTCAACTAAGATTAATTAATTAAAGTACATGATAATAAGAAATTACTACCAAAGAAAATACAAAGGAACAGTGAAGAAAGCAGAAGAAAGTGGAGTTTGGTTTATGGTATTAAAGATAATGGCATATCCTTAGGACAAAAGAATGTTTGGATTCTCATTTCTACAGTAACTAACAAATCAAATTGAGACACTTTTTTACAGTGCTTAACAGATAACACTTCACTTGCTACTAATATTATTTAATTTATTTCAAAAAGTAAAGGAAGAATAAAATAAAACTAGTACTAATTAATATGTGTATACCAATACAAGATTGATGGAATTTTCTTTTACATTTATCTAGAAATAGGTCAATGGTGGAATTTTCTTTTATATATATATATATATATATATATATATATATATATATATATATATATATATATATATATATATATATATATATATATATATATATATATATATGTGTGTGTGTGTGTGAGGATCAATTTATTTAATTTATTCTAAATCATAATTTTGATTTGAATTTAATCTAATAATTAAATTAACCTTTTATTTAATTGACCATTAAATTATATCAATTCAAAAGCAATGATATGATGTAAATTAAAAAAATTTATTTATAGAATAAGTTGATATATATATATATATATATATATATATATATATATATATATATATATATATATATATATATATATATATATATATATATATATATATATATATATATATATATATATATATATATATATATATATATATATATATATATTCTTTGCTTCGCTTTCTTATTTTGAACCATTGATAAAGATTCTATTTTTTTCAACTTCAACTCTGACACAAACAAGGATTGCAGTGATATGCATGACCCAGTGATATGCATGACCAAGTTGAATTGAATCTTTCATAACCTGCCCTCTACTCTTTAAGGTAGAACTTGAAGAACTTGACGAAGTTTTGTGTTTTGGTAACAAAGTTTTCATTGAATGGAAGGAAAAAAAGATGCAGTTTTGTTTTGTTTTTTGGCTTTGCTCTTCATGTGGACTTCAGTTACTGGTTTGCTTTCTTCTAAAGGTGTCAACTATGAAGGTGACTAGTAAGCAGTTTATTCAAAAACTAGTACTAATACTGAAAAACATTATAAACTTATCTTTGGTGAACATGCAGTTCAAGCTTTGATGGGAATTAAGAACTCTTTGATGGATCCTCATTCAGCTTTAAATAATTGGGATGCTGAATCTGTGGATCCTTGCAACTGGGCTATGGTTACTTGTTCTCCTGATCATTTTGTCACTGCACTGTAAGTAAAACTTACAACAACAAGAGTAGCAGCGCACAGTTTGTTGCTCGTTTATTTCTATTTCTTTCTGTATAAACTTTTCATTTTTTTTTCTTCTTAAAGATTTTCTTTAACTCCTTTCATCCTTTTATGTTAGTGGAATTCCAAGCCAGAATATATCTGGTACACTCTCATCAACCATAGGTTCCTTACCAAATCTTCAAACTGTGTATGTATTTAACAACCTGTTGTAGTTATTTCTTTGAGAAAATTTATCATGGTATGAAAACTATTCTTATTTAAAATTGTGTTGCAGGCTTTTGCAGGACAATAATATAACCGGACCAATTCCGTCTGAGATTGGAAGGCTTCAAAAGCTTCATACACTTGATCTTTCTGACAATTTCTTCACTGGTCAACTTCCAGATTCTCTTTCACATATGAAAGGTCTCCATTATTTGTAAGTTCAAGAATGATATAGTTTTGTATCTTATATTGTTAAAATGGAAACTTAAGAATCTGATAATAAGAATTTGAATTGAAAATTTGAAATCAGGAGGCTAAACAATAACACTCTTTCTGGACCAATTCCTTCTTCAGTGGCTAACATGTCTCAGCTAGTTTTTCTGTAAGTTTCTCTTTTGAGCTTTTCATCATTTTTTTTTTTCAATCATTAATTTGTCTTTTTCTGAATTTTTCTTAGGGATCTTTCTTATAATAACTTGAGTGGACCTGTACCTAGATTAAATGCTAAAACATTCAAGTAAGTTCTTTGGTCTTCTTTTATTTCCTCATTTGAATTTGAAAAAAATTAAATTTTGTTCTAAATAATTGTATGACTTTATGTTTTCCTTCTTTTGTTACAGTATTGTGGGGAATCACCAGATATGTGTCACTGGAGTTGAACAAAACTGTTTTAGAACAACATTAGTTTCTTCTGCTATGAATAATAACACTCAAGGTAATCATAGTTTTGTTGTACTTTCTCCAAACTCATGATGTTTTCATTTGAAGCTTTGGTTCTTTATCTCGCATGAAGTACTTTTAATTTGACTTAAAATTTATTCATGATGGTCTAAGTCTAAGCCAGTGCTTTTTGAGTTCAAATCTATTTTATGAGTTCCTGTCCAAAACTATTCAGTTTCTTGAGTTGTTTTCATGTTATTTATAATCATTTCTTCCATCACTCTTCACTCCTATATTTATTTATTTGTTAGCATGATGTTAACTTTTACTTTTTTTAAGAAGAAAATTAACTTATTGAATAAGCACATGTCCATAAGCTGTTTTCAACTTATTTCCACAATCTCTCCAAAATAGCTTATAAAAACAATTTATAGCTTATATGAAAATAATTTGACTTTCTTTTAATTTGTCATAGAAAAAGTTTATATAAGCAATTATATTATATACGTGTTGAATTAAGTTGTTTATCCGTTTATCCAAACGGAGCCTAACACAATTTCCTTAATCCTTCTCAAGATTTACAAGCTTCTAATAGACCAAAAAGTCACAAAGCTGCTTTGGCTTTTGCTTCAAGCCTCAGCTGCATCTGCTTACTAATTCTGGGATTTGGCTTTCTTCTCTGGTGGAGACAAAGATATAACAAACAAATATTCTTTGACACGAATGGTTAGTTAATGATTGAATCAAATTAAACTCAAACATAGACCAATCTGGTATCCGTATGATTACAATTTTTTCCTTCTAAATTTTTTTCAGAACAAAACCGCGAGGTCATTTGCCTTGGAAACCTGAAGAAGTTCCATTTCAGAGAACTTCAGGTTGCTACGAATAACTTCGGCAGCAAGAACTTAGTTGGAAAAGGCGGATTTGGGAATGTTTACAAAGGTTGTCTCCGAGATGGTACTGTTATAGCTGTAAAAAGGCTTAAAGATGGTAATGCAATTGGCGGTGAAATCCAGTTCCAAACCGAACTAGAAATGATCAGCTTAGCTGTTCATAGAAACCTTCTTCGCCTGTATGGATTTTGTATGACAACTACAGAAAGGCTCTTGGTTTATCCTTATATGTCAAATGGTAGTGTTGCTTCTCGTCTCAAAGGTAACAGAAATTATCTAATCTCTATTAGTAGTAGAAGAAAATTAATGAACAACTAGCAAGTTTCAAGTTTGATGCAGTCACTAGCAAGTTTTAAGTTGCAGTTTCTGTTGAAGCCGCGCTGAGATCCTTTACATTGTTGATAATTGTGGTCAAATATGTATGATGTGACCGCCATTATAGTCTCGCTGCGACGGAGACATAAAAATCTTTAATGACACGGTGAAGATCGTTGTCGCAGACCCTTTTTAAAACTCTAGTTCTAATTTACCATAGGAAAAGTGTTGATAACTAGCCGTATTTGAGTAACCTATTAAGTATGACTTGTTATAAATACAAATGAAGTGGTTTTAATCGCGGTTGCATTATCATCTAATACGTAGGAAACGGCCAGAGACCCTGTCGCGGAGTCATTTTGCTAATTCCGATTTACATAAAACCCAAATACAAAAAATGTAGAGAACTTGATGTATTTCGAGTAACAAAATGTACGATTTAGTTTATGAAGTATGAGTACTAGTTTTATTTTTCATGATATATACAGGCAAGCCATCTTTGGACTGGAGTACAAGAAAGAGGATAGCATTAGGAGCAGGAAGAGGGTTGCTATATTTACATGAACAGTGTGATCCAAAGATTATTCACAGAGATGTTAAAGCAGCAAATATCTTGCTTAATGATTATTGTGAAGCTGTAGTGGGAGACTTTGGGTTGGCAAAGCTGTTGGACCACAGAGATTCACATGTGACAACAGCAGTGAGAGGAACTGTAGGACACATAGCCCCTGAGTACCTATCAACAGGACAATCCTCAGAGAAAACAGATGTATTTGGGTTTGGAATTCTTCTACTTGAACTGATTTCTGGACAGAGAGCTCTTGAATTTGGAAAAGCTGCAAACCAGAAAGGAGCTATGCTTGATTGGGTAAGTTAAACAGAATCGGTTTATTTGTCCTTTCTTTGTGTTGTCTTTGTTACTTTTATTGAACTTATAGACAATTATGCACTCACAGTTACTTCAAATCACTAGTCTTGTGCTCATGTCAGACACTTGAAAGAAACTTTGAATACTAATAGATTTTGCACTCATGTAACTTCTATTTTTTTAACTTTCATTTTACACGTGTGACTATAACTGCTTGCAGGTGAAGAAAATACATCAAGAGAAGAAGATTGATGTGTTAGTTGACAAGGATTTGAAAAACAACTATGACAGGATAGAGTTAGATGAAATAGTTCAAGTTGTTCTTCTATGTACTCAGTACCTTCCGAGCCACAGACCAAAAATGTCAGAAGTAGTTAGAATGCTTGAAGGAGATGGACTTGCAGAGAAATGGGAAGCTTCGCAGAGAGCTGAATCAACAAGAAGTAGAGGAAATGAACTCTCGTCTTCAGAGCGTTATTCTGATCTTACTGATGATTCTTCATTGCTTGCACAAGCAATGGAACTTTCTGGACCAAGATAACATACAAACTCTAGTTTTTCAAGACCTTTATTATGCTAGTTTTGTGACTGTATATTGTCTGATCGGAGACACTCACGTATAGATGTTTGTTTGTTATGTGCTTTGATCCTTTATGGGGAAAATATTTTTATGGAAAATGTTTATTCTGAGTCCTTTAGGTTGTTGGAATAATGTTAATAAAGTAGTTTGTACTCAAACCTGTTGATATTTTTTTAAGATTTGTTTCACTGGTGGTGAGTTTTAACTCTACTAAATTTACTTGTCTTTTTCTATTATCTTGGGATTAGAGACAAAACATTGTCAATTGTTTAACCATAACATGTTTTTGATCTGCATAGAAGATCAAAATATTTGTTTCACATAATGGTAAGAACAAACCATATTAATAATAAGTAATATAAATGTAATCTTAAGTGATACTCTAATGATTTAAATAATCTTATATAATATAAAAGATATTTTACAATATCTTGGAGGGTGAGAGAACACAGCAGCTACCTGGGACTTGTAGGTTCTTGTTGAACAGGAAATCTGGCATTCCCTTCTTCCAAATTGCATAATAAACTTTCTTTGGAGGACTAGTGGTGTCCGTTCTCCCTAGTCTCCAAAACCTGGAGAAACCCAGATTGGATACTCTAGGCAGGTGAAATAAAATTCGGCTTTAGAAGAAGATCTTCGAATTTTCATCAATTCGACCAACATTTTCAACCGATATTCTTTATTACTTATATATGGAATGATAAACATTTTCTCAAGATCAGGTGAACAACCAAGTAAAATTTTGATAAATTCAATCTCATGTGAAACACCACTCATTTCTTCCAAATTCACAACTTCAAACTTGCTAAGTATAGAATCTGAGTGGCATTCTTTTTCCCAAAACTCCAAATCTTCTGTATATGCAGAAGCTTGTATGTCGGATATACTCTACCAAATTCAAATAAGCAATAACCCATAAATATTTTATTTTAGAGACGATAGTAAAAATTAATAATAGAACAGAACAGGTATTGATCATATCCTTAGAACTTATTGAAATGTGAAGTGCCTTTAGATTGGGAGAGCATTTAATGAAGCCAAGAACTACTAGTATCTCTTCAACTATCAACTACCTACCCATTATTATTAAATGTCACTAATCTTACTAATTTACCCTTTAATCAAAATTTATTTATGCCTAACACAAGAACTTTTGTGTAAATAACATATTCACCTTTCTTAGACTTGCTAAGAACATTTCTTTCATCCACATGTCACTATCCTATTAGTCCAAACTCATCTCAATATCTTATATTATTTTTCCCTCTCTTTTCACATCATTTTTTGAAATATTCTCTCTCTCTCTCTCTCTCTCTCTCTCTCTCTCTCTCTCTTCGCCTATATTCTCTTTCTAAACCACCATATCAGAACAAAGCTTCTTCATCTTTCGTCCTCGTCTTTCTTGCTCGCAAGCGAAAAACTGAAGGTACAAGCTTCTCCCTTCTTCGTCTATCTTCCAACTTATCAATTTTCATTGTAAATTGAAAGTTAATGTTGTTTTTCCTTATTCATTCATTTGAAATTGTTTTTTTTTTTCATATTCGTGGTTTTATGTTTAAGAAAACGAAAGTTGATGTTTATATTCCTTCTTCATTCTCTTGAAATCGATATTTTTAATGTTCGTGATTTTGGGTTTATGAACCCGAAAGTTAATGTTCATGAATAAAGGGGTTTGACTTGGTTTGGGTAAATAACGATTTTTTTTCGTTTTTGTTTTGGTTTGGATGGAGGTTTTTATTTGATTGTGTGTTATGTTTGTGTTTTATTGTGAAAGTTTGAAATTTTTTTAATTTCAGTGTGGTTTTTATGTAGTCCATCATCGCCCTCGCATCGGTAACGTTCGTTAGGTTCTTTACTCTTTAAATTTAAGGTTTACTAAGAAATAAATTTTTTACTCTATACATTTGAACCATAATGATTTCATATACATTTTAAATTTAAAGTAAGATTTTGTTTAAGTATTTCTTGTCTCTCATTTGGTGGTGGTTCTCCAGTATGTACAAAATATTACCTAGATAAATAGAAGTTATGGACCATTTCTTTTTTGCAGGAATTGAAAGAGAGATATCTTCTCTTTAGATTGAGGTAAAGAGTGCTAACAAAGATCTTCTTATTGATTTTACCCTATTTCATATTTTCTTTTAGTGTTTCACTGCCTTGTGTACTACAGAAAAAGAAGTTGGCGGTGGAGATTAAAAGAGAAGCAAAAAGTGGAAATTGTTAGAACACAGATTGGTTATTAATTATATCTCTATGTTTTGATGATAACTCTTACGAAATTTTGTATTAAAGAATTATATACTCTAAAATTTGTTTAAGTATGTTTGCTGCAGATATTAAAGTGAATATTATTCTGAAAGCAAATTAGATCTGAACATGAAATTATGCAAGGCTCTGAAGAATCAGAAGCATCTCTTAGAAGAATCTGAATGCTGCCTACAGAAGATTCTGAGCGCTGCCTACAGAAGATTCTGAAGCAGAAGCTACAGAATCATCTGAAACATTGAAGACTTTTGTATGAAGAGTTTCAAGCTTAGTTTATTTCAGAAGACTCTGATAGTACTACGCTGCCAGTACTGAGGATCTGATTCCTAAAACTTTGCTCTAATGAACTTACACGTTGAAAGCACACTTGCTACAATGCTCTGATTCAGCAAACTCTGATGAACATCAAAGACTCTGATCACTCAAGGCTCTGATGATTGTTGAAACTTGTTGAAGAAGAATTCAAAGTTATGTCTGTTGGTTTGGCCAAACGACTCTTTCCTCATTTATGCTAGACACAAGAACACAAACAAAAAGGATTTATCTGTGCATTCTACTTCTAGGAAAGGTCATGTGATGTGAAGACAAAAAGGCTACAACCCTTTTCAGTACACAGCCTTCAACGTGAAAACTACTTGGACCTCTTGAAGGATAATTGCGATCTAAACGCAGCGGAAAACAAAAATTTCCTTTAGTGATCCTTACGAATGAGCATGGTCAGTGATAGAATCGTTACCTCTTTGTGGCGATTCAGATCTTTGATGCAGCGATCACAAGCGTTGATGAAGTGCAATGCCTCTACTCAATCCACACGAACAGCTTCCGGTCACAGTGCTAGCCGCTTACGAACGGAATTATTTGAGTGAGAAAAGAGAATCAAAAACGAAATTGCATCAAGTGAAAGCTTCATCACAAGGGTTCCTTTTATAGACTCTCTTGTGGGCTGCGGGCTAAAACCCAATTCACATGATCCATAATAATATTATATATTATTATAATAATAATTATTATAATAAATATATTTATTTTATTATTATTTTATAACCATTATAAAATAACAATAATTATTATTATATTATCCGAATTTCTATTTTTCACTTAAGTGCACCGTACCTTATGGTGTTCCTTTTTGATTTCTCTATCTCTCATCAAACTGTCCTTATGTGTGTGACCCTGTAGGATTTCGTAACGTTGGTAATTATATTAAATTATATATTTAACATAATAAACAGTAAGCGGTATCTAGCAACACATCACCGCTACCCAAGTCACGAAAATGTCATGTGATCTGACAAAACCTTTTTCGTGATAATATATGTTTGTACAATTACCCTTTTGCCCCTATGTCTATATTGAACACAAGGCATACACTGTGTCATCCTTGTCCAGTTCAATATTGGGCCCTTAGACATTTCTCCTGTTATGCAGGATTGGCAAATTCCATCTAGGACACTCATGTCCCTCAGCATACTTCGTGGAGTGCCCATCAACTGTCTTTATGATCATCCAGTTACGGATAATGTTTGATCAGCAATAAAGCACCCGACTCTACATCTAGGGTCCATAGTGGTTTCAGGTCGAAGGGTGGTAATACACCATTATCACCATGAGAATAACTTATGACACTTTGCATAACATACTATGTAGTATTCTCATAGCGGGTCAATCCGGTATAAATATTACTCCTAATATTTATACCTATGTCAAGACTTGATAATTCTTTATCCATGATCCATGAGATGTGATCATCAGTCTATCTTCATAATAGTCTCAATGCTTTTAATGTTATCCCACTTTGCAATAAAGCTTGACTACGGATATTTTAAGAATAATGTCTTTATGTTTAATGGGATCTCATGATTAAGTCACACTTAACATTTCATTAAACAAACTAACTATTCTAGGGACTTTATTATTCTGAAAGACAAACATAATAAAGAAATGCCTTTTATTATTAAACGAATAATCCGATACAAGTACCAAAAAGTATTGGCCTCTAGGGCTTACACCAACAATCTCCCACTAGCACTAGAGCCAATTAGGCATACCCTTAATACCCATAGATCTAGTATGACCATCATGCTTCTGTTGCGCAAGAGGCTTTGTTAATGGGTCAGCGATATTGTCAAGTGTAGGTACTCTGCATATCTTCACATCTCCCCGATCGATTATCTCTCGAATGAGGTGATAACGCCTAAGTATGTGTTTGGATCGTTGGTGAGATCTAGGCTCCTTAGCTTGTGCGATAGCACCATTGTTATCACAATATAAACCAATGGGATCCACAATGCTAGGGACTATGCCAAGTTCACTAATGAACTTCTTGATCCAAACAGCTTCCTTTGCTGCATTTGAGGCAACAATATACTCGGCCTCAGTTGTAGAATCAGCAACTGTTTCTTGCTTTGAACTTTTCCAGCTCACAACGCCACCATTGAGACAAAACACATAACCAGATTGTGATCTAAAATCATCCTTATCTGTCTGGAAGCTAGCATCAGTGTAACCAATTACATCAAGCTCTTCCTGACCTCCATATATCAAGAATGAATCCTTAGTCCTTCTCAAGTACTTAAGGATATTCTTGACAGCTACTCAGTGAGCATCACCGGGATCAGATTGGTACCTACTCGTTGCACTTAATGCATACGAGACATCTGGTCGAGTACATAACATGGCATACATGATAGATCCTA